CCTGCTTTACATGATTTGACTAATACATAGTGTATTTCTGCTTTTTTAGCAACCATATATATATCACATCACGATATACACTATAGCATAATATATTCATTCTTTGCTTGGGGGCATTCTTTGCTTGCCAGTTTTATAGATCCTACCTGTAACAATTAATTAGTTTCTATGTGTATTTGAAAACACTTTATACCTGCGCCATATCTCGCTTGATCAGTATCTACAAGTGTTTCCAACATTTTCAGACCTCACCTGGTATCTAAAGACTAGACGGTGATCGATAGGACGGCACTCTATCTGAGCTAAAGCAGATACAATTATTGGAGAATTATCCGTAGTCAGTCGTTACATGATCGTATACATAATGTATAGAAAAGTGATTTTGATGCAGTAATTGTGGACACCATTTATCGATTTTAGTAATCGAATATTTGAGATGTGAACACTGTTTTCCCATGTGGTTGTCGATAAGCTGCAATAATGTATCCTACATTTGCGGAAGTGAACCGGTAATTATCAAGGTAATCTGTGAGCTACTCATAAATCTGCGCACAACACGCCCAGATGCCTAATAATCGGACAATATCGCAACGATACGAAAACGATACTTTATCGTTATTAAAATGTTAAGAACGAGAAAGCTCTGCAAAGTTGTCTTGGTAAATATAAATATATGTATAAATACACATGACATTACGAGTCACAATAGATGACCTCTTTTGTAGACATTGAAGTATTAGATTTTGCAAATTGCAAAATCGAATCTCAACATTCACCGTTCTGCGCTATTTGTCTGTTCTAATATACATTTGGGGGGATGCACAGTCTGTGGTCCCCATTAGTGCCCACCCCTCACTAATACATACACACTCGCTGGTGGATTCTGGAAATCGCTCTGGAAACGTGCCGGCAATGAATATTAATTGCCAACAGCCATAGTAGAGCGCAACTTTGACAGTTGCTAATGCATCGTTTCTTCCTCTGATTCCCTACACAGTTTGCGCGCACGTGCGTTCGCTGGCAATTTCCCCGGCGAACGTACGTTCGCTGATTAATTGGATTATCGCCTCGCTCGACAATCCTGTGGGGCAATCATCTTGAATTAATTAACAAACATGGCCTCGATCTGAGCTCAAACAAGGTGAGTGAGGGTATGGCTAGGTTATGGTGAATTTGGGTAGGATGAGAATTAATTTCCGGTTTATATCAAAATTTAATCGACCACGAAAGGATTTTCTTTAGAAAAAAGTTAATTCTTGAGCATATTTATCTTAGTCCATTTCGAGAGGAAATTCGATTCTGGAACGTACAATTTGTAGCTTATAATTTAATTTTAATTATGACTAATTAAGTGTGTTAGAAACTACCTAGCAGCAACAACTTTATACTTAGATTAATTATAACTTTATAGTACTATGCAAAGTTAATAGTTTCGGGATTAACCAAATTTGAAGCTTTTTTATTTTAATTTACTAATAAAATTAATAAGCAATACAGTATGTAAACATAATTTGTATTAACTAATTACTTCATTAAATTTTATTCATTAATTGGTTAATTATCCCAAATTGGGTATATGTATCATTTTAATGGTTGTTTCATCAACAAAAGGTAAATCTGTGGGTAAAACTCGGTTACAGAGATAGAGTGATACATAAATATCTATAAGCCGCAAAAGTGAAACTAATGACGGGATCGTTACTGTTAATTACAACGTTGACATTGCGTTGGTGGTTGCTCCACAATGCGTTTTTCGGCTCGTTTTTCTGAAAGTCCTTTGATGAGAGTGGTCGATTAAAACCGAAAACCGATTCTACACTCTACACTAGCACGGCTTTTGGTAAACAGAGTGTGGTTGTGTTGGATATAGGTGAACAGATTTCATTGTGTGGTTTATAGTAAAATTTCATTTCGATTTTTCTCGTTTTATTACAAATTTTTTTTTGAAATTATAAAACAGTATTTATTTTTTTGTTGGGAGCGATATTTTTTTTTGGCAATGAAACTCATCTTTTTTATTACTGGTTCGTTAGCTGAAATGGAAAGCCGCTAATTAAGATCGCACCATAAAAAAATATGACGGTACTAAAGCCTTTTTGGTGTCTTTTAAAAAAACAGGAAAGCTTTGAAAGCCACCTTTTTCATGTCTTCTTTTACTAGCAGGAATTTGTACAAATTCAACCTTTTCTATTCTACCTCTGTATTCGTTCTTTGAAATAATCTCCTCACCACTCGTCTACGCTATACAGAATTGATGGACAGGGTGTGTTTGTACAACGACGTATTATCCAATTTCGCTGATGGAACCGTAAAAATCAATATTATAAGGGAAACGGAAAAGTTTCCTTTTAATAAATCTCAATTGAAATCTCTTAAAATTCTTATGCACACATTTCATTCGATTAACCCAAATTGAAAAGCTAATATTTTAATAATTTTTTATCAATTTTCAATTCAACCCCGATTTCAAAAGGTAACGGTAGCAGAAGTGTTAGCCTTTAGGCATTCACAATCGTAGATTTAAAGGTGTTCAATAGGTCCATAATTCCCGGGCAATATACGTTTGCAATTCGCACCGACGAACTTTCCGGGGAAACAGCACCTCACCATCCCACCCCAATGGGGCGAACGTTCTGATTTAAGTTTGCGAGAGGATTTCGGATAGTCCGTTGCTGCTACTGCTTCGAAACCTGAAACTCCCGGAGGTAGGCCCCGGGCCCAAAAAGTAATAAAAACGAATAGCTTGCTCGCTGCCACTTCGAAAAGCATGTCAGAGAGATCACCTCTGGTGCTAAGGGTAGAAAAGTATAAATGGCGGAAGGAACAAAAGGAAAGATTGAAAAGAAAAATTAAAAAAGAAAACAGTATTAATCACATGTGAGATAACTATTGACATATTATTATAACGCTTATTAAATTAAGATGTACAGTGCATCTCAGCATGTTCAGAAAATACTCTTATTGTTGTTTTATGACAATCTCCGAGATATCGTGATCTAAACAAGCAGAATACAAAAATATTGGTTAAAATATTGATAGTGTAATAAACAGCTTTAAACAAAACTTCCATCCATATGATAATGAAGTAGACTTAATGAATGACGATGTTAGAATTTCTGAATTTACGCTGCTCAAACACATCGTAATTAATAAAAACTAATGTAATAATGAATATTGTTGCCACCCACACTCACAAGAAAATAATAAATGGCTATTGTCGGGTTTAAAACTGATTGTTATTACAGTAAGCCCTCCACCCGGTTAAAGAAGCATCAGAAGGAAATAAATTCTTCCCGGTTGAAGTTCTTAGTAAAGTTACTTGATAAAAGCTCGTTATTATAATTGCCATCGTTCAAACTTGAAGCTAATTCTTTTTTATATTTAAAAATTTCGCTTTTAAAGGACGAAACTGGAAAGATTCTTTATAAAATGATGGATACTATAAAATGGAATATAATAATAACTATATGGCGCTGTGTGGTACTTTTATCCCTTTGAAGTTCTTGTTGTAATTTTCCACAACCAACCTCAAATTTGTAATTGTGAGCCGTCTCTTTGTGGACGTATTTTGTTGTGTTGCCATTTTTAAACCCTTATTACGGAAAAACGGTAATCATCATTTCCACGTGTCAGCTTTTTATTATGAATTGTGAGAGAGACCTTTTCTAATAGATCGTGGAGTTTCGCACTATAACTATAAGTTTAAAACTACACTCTCACCAAACTCTAATTCTAAATATTTATTCTTTACTGTTTTGTTGTTCTTTCTGGTGAGATAAACATCAAAGTTTGTACACGTTTTATATGTTATCCATTAGCATCGTTGTAGCGACAGTTAAATGTTTCGACAGTCCTAATCACTGGCTGGAATTTACGCAATTAGTCCTTATATAAAATTCGCTTTGCGGAATTAAGTGGTACTTGAGGGCCCTATCCGCATGAGGGAACCTTTAAACATGATAGAAAATTTACAGAGTTAAATTACAATCGCTTGTCAAATCCGTTAGATGTTCGGGTTCAAAGCTCATCATTTTAATCACATCTCGGTAGCATTGGAGCGCATTAATTCTTTTGGCTGAATCTCTTTAAAGGAAACAAGTACAAAACAATAATTAATATAAATATGAAATGTAGGATATTTCTACGGTGGAATAAAAATTGAGATAATGCAGGAATTAACTGAAGATGACTTAGATCGTAGATTTGAATCGTAGAATATTAACATATATGAAGTGAGTCAAGGATGGAAAACATTGCAACCGACGAGGATTTTATTAATAAGATATGTTTTTGCGACGAAGCAACCTTTACATTGTGTGGAAATATAAATGGCATAATGTAAGGTATTGCATATTAGAGAAAAATTGTACACAAAATATTAAAAATATTTATTAACTTAAGTATTTTGAAATAGTTCTATATACTATCTAATTATTATTATAGCTAATATACTATCTAATAATAATCTGAAAGATTCTTAATAATCAATAATATCGAGGATTTATAAGAATTTTGGTAGTCTATCTGTATTCGGAATAATGTATTTCGGTTTGAAATGGAGATAATGCAATAAAAATCGTGGTTTCAATTTCTCAAAGGAGTGGAAAGAAAATTCCGTCATTTTAAAGAGTCGTTCCATAAAGCATTAAACTGGAACACCTCGTCCAGAGAGCTCCAATAATAGAACAGAGACGAATTTATGTAAAAGGAAACGGTGGCGGCGACCCACCATCGACTAAGTTGGAGGGTTGAAATCTAATAAAGCCGGATTCGCTGACGGAGAAGTTTCGCGCGCGTATGGAGGACTTTGTCAGGCCTGAGCCAAATTTAAATTGAATTGCGATATGAATCCTCCCAATTACGCGGAACCTAGGGGTAGTCCTCGCAGGAATTGGCTCCTAATTTTATCTCCATCTAAAAAACTTTTTTATAGTACCTTTTGCAGCACGATTTTAATGGGGTTGAAAACCTTAACGAAGGCACGAGAGAGAAAGACTTACCTTCCACCACGTGATAATAGCCGCAGGTCTGGATCCTTTACACCTGCAGACGATATCCGTTCTCCTACCGGCCCTCAAGGGCTGGTTTTGACCCACCAGGCGAACCTCTAAGGGTCTCAAGTACATGTCTATGACCACTCTGACGACAAGAGGAGGCGGTTGAACACTGTTGCTCACTTCGCAACTATACGTAGCCAAGAGATGGCCCCGTGAGAGTTTGTCGATTTTCAGGATACTTTGGGACTTTCGTTTATCGGGGAAATATTGCGTTTCGTTCGTTTCAGCTACCCCATCACGTTTCCAAACTATCCGCGCCAATGGAGTTCCACCATATGCCGAGCACGTCAATGTCATACTAGCACCTTCAGCGTACGATGATGTCATGTCGTTTTTTATTGGACCAATGTCGTCGTTTATTTGTACAGATTCTGGGGGAACTGAAACAAAAAAGAATATCAATAACTTTATGCTAAATAGTTATTACTTGTAAAAATATATCGCTTCATGAAATTTCCATTTAATAAGTGTGTTGAAATTCAAATTAAGGAAGAATAAAATTACTTTACCAGGCGGCAATCTTTTATTCAAAAGGGCAACCCCACGGTACAAAGTTTGATTGCGAGCGACCCCATTTTACAACGGGAGACAACGCGTCCGAAGTAGCGCGCACCTGAAATAAATTTGACATCCGGAAGCTGTACAGACAACCCTAAAATAGATTGCCGTCATTTCGGCGTCTTGGTACATAAAGTTTTTCTCAATTCCTAGTAGTTCCCGGCGCCTCCACCATTGCTTTCGAGAAATACATGCGCGCAGCTTGCAATCGCACATTCGTAATCATTTTCAGTGTAGAGTATGGAGAGTATAAATAAGTCGGCAAAGAACAAGTTACTTTTTGCTCTTCGTCGTTCCATTCTTCGTCGTTTGCCCTCGGTTGAATATAGAATTCCATTTCGTCCTTCCGCAACAACCTCCAAAATAAAAACAGGGTTCTTTCAGCATTTCTCTCCGACTACAACGACGCGACGGCCGGTATTCTTTGCGAGGCACCGCATGCATTTCAGTATTTCAGGTGCCACCCGCAACAGCCCCCTACTTTATTGTTACAGGTCGGCGCCTTGCTATCGCGACCACGTCCTCACAATAAATTCCATTTTGCCGATATTACGGGAGTTTCAGCGCCTTTCGACCCTTCCAAACCCCTGAAGCACAATGTCTCCGAAATTGTTGTGGTGCCCAATAAAATTATTTCCGATTCGAAACACCCCTATCTAAAAAAAAAACTGTTTCAATATGGACCACATCAACCATATAAAATTGGGGAGTAAAGAAATATAAATAATATAAAGAAACCATTTTGACTCAATTTTCTTTTAAATAAATTGAAATGTACTAAAACTTCGATATAACTGACTTCGTCCTATGTTCATAGATAAACTCGGGGTATTCCCCCGAGGTATCCCTTGTGGTGGTCTATACGATGTATAAATCAAGGACGGTATTTTAGTTTTAATTGTTATTGAGTAAAGAACATTCGGGTTTAGCCGTGCGTCTCTTAAGACGGCTAAACCTGAATGTTTCTAGTTTTAGGTCTAGTGTGAGTTCTAATTCTAGCGTTAGTTCTAGTTTTAGCTATTATTCGGCGCTATATTGTCGTACATTTTTATTAAACTAAAGGTAGAACCAACACTAGATTTAGAACTAGAAACATTCAGGTTTAGCCGTACATCTTTTAAGATGGCTAAACCCGAATGTTTCTAGTTCTGGGTCTAGTGTTAGTTCTAGTGCTAGTGTTAGCTCTAGTTTTAGTTGTTATTCTTGTTATTCTTTTAGTTTTAGTTAGTGCTAGATTGCTCGAATTTATGCGCATTAAAATTATTCATTCAAACAGATTAAAGTACAAATTATTATATCGAGTTCCGTTATATCGAGATTTTATTGTATTATATATTCCATTTTAGAGATATATTTTTAAGAAATTTTAGAAGGATGTAGCTTAGTTTGAGAAAAAGAAATAAACACGTCTTTTAAAAAGGAATCGTGTTAGGATCTTTTTAAAGAATTACAAGGGCTCTTGAATCCACTTCCGGCTTCGTCCAACCGCCGGAAATCACGGGAAAATCTCATTAGCCGCCCGAGTCGGCACCTACCGGCTCTGGCCGTTAATTGAATTTACATCGAGGCGTCTCCCATATCGCTTTAATTACAACCTTTATCCCTGGAATTGTATTGTTAACGCTTGTTGCTTCTCACTCGAAAAGAAGAGGGTGTTGAAAAACTCTACAGGGAGTAGACTTTGAACAACGCTGAAAATTTATTAAAACAATTTACGTCGAGATTTACACGAAAGCTTTACAAATCACTCGAAATTTTCGCCTGGATTAGTTGGGAGCTTTTCGCGTAATCAACGTCGCGTCGACTCTATGTGGAAACCAAAGGAAACCGGCAAGGATCACAGAGGGCTCGGTAATGCGGTTAGAACCTGGTTGCGCCATCTGACGTCAGAGCCTTTGTAATCAAAGAATAGCGACCAGATCAAACGTGGCATAGTGTCTTTTGCACTGCCTGTGGTGCTGATTTAGAACGAAAAGAGATAGTGGAATGAAAACATTGTTGGGATGAGGAGATTTTCTGGTTGAAGTTAGAGGTAGAATGAGATTTATAAAGCTGAAGGAATTTATTTTTCATGAATTCGCTACTTTTGATTACTTAGGATTATTTAAATTGTTTCATTTAGTTTTATTTCGTAAATGATTGATAAAATTATTACGATATAAAAAGTGAAAAGAGTAAATTTGAAAAGTAAGAGTAAAAGAAGTTAAAGTAGAAAAGTGTTTAACATTTCGAGGGGTAAAGGTTTCTCTTTTCTTACTCCATTTCCTGTTCTTGCCCGGAGTTTTGACGGAGTGGTGGGTCGGTGGCTGCAAAGTAATTAGTCTAGCGTCCAAGTTTTTCCAGATAAAATTAAAACTTTCAGTCGGCGCGTTGCATTTTAAATTGCACAAAGAGGTCCCGTCATTACTGCTAAAAGCTTCCGGCCTTTGAAGGCGACGCTCGCGGCGTTCCACGGAAATAACGAACTAATATTCCTGGATTCCAAAGCTTTCGGTGTTGGATTTCGTTGAATCGCTACCTTCAAAGTATATGCATCCGAATGAAGACTGTTTCTGTTTTTTAAAATTAAGTTGGAATCTTCTTTTTGATATTATAATTAATCTACCGTTTTGTTTGGTGGAGTTTCCACAAAACCGGAAACTTATCCTCGTTTGTGGCTAGTTGCACACTTATTGGCTACAAACACCGTCCACCATCCTTTACCGGTTTGGCCTCCAGTGGAGATTAAACTCACGAACGGCCAACATAAATTCGACTTCGCCAGCAGTTATTACGCGACGCGCCTCTACTCTCTGATTAATGCCGCTGCTATTCGAGATACAGTGCGGTCGTTTCTCGACAATAAGTGCTGAAACACTGAGCATAAATCGTACAAGCGACCGAGCTGCACAGCAAAACCACCCTGGCAACGGTTTTTAATTATTTCAAAGCCTTGAAATTTATCTTTTCGTGACGACGATATCGACGTTCGTTCAGGTATTTTGCACTAGACAAGCAATAAATTTTGCCCAATACACAAAGTTAAAAATTCTTCTATTTTCCTTTTCCTAAGAGAAAATTAAAGTAACTGTTCTGTTCACGCCTGTGTTTGCGTTGAAGATGTCGTTTTAGTTTAAGAGAATTTAATAATTCAAGGCAAGGGCGTTGGCAAACCGGAAGTATTCTCTCAGTATATAGGAAGGGTGTATAAATTCCGCTGGCACCCAGTCCGTTCCGAAGAACATAAGTGGACGAAACAGGACAACTGCACGCGCGAGCTCGTTCTCGTAGTGTCCCTTCCTCGTTTTCCGTCCTCGACCGCCATTAATCTTTCAGCAGGATGGACATAGTCGGATCTAGTTTCAGGAACGCGTTCCCCTACTTTTTTCTAAGGGTAACTCCAAGTGATGGATTGTCCGGGGAAGGATTTTTGCACGGATGAGCACCGAATAATCACAACCCTGACATGTATACTAAAAAATATACCTCTACTCACAATTTAGAGATTCAAAGATTAATTATATTAAATTTTATCTACTAAAACAAATTTCAAAAAAAAATTAAGAAAATACTTGTACCTAAGTAAGATCATTTCTGCCTTTTGTGAGAACAACTTTACCTGTCTACGAAGTTTTAATTATTCCATGCTCTCGACAAACAAAGGAAGCTTCCAGTAGAATGGGAGGAAAACAACCGACTTTGGAACTTCATGCGTATTTCCCTCCAACTTAAGAACCGAGCAACGACTCCCCACCTGCGGATGTCAGAGCGGAGTAATTTGGGCCAGAAATTGAATTGGTATTTTGCCGTAAGGAGCTCTACAGATTCTCCAAGAACTTAATGAAATTATGAACTTCTAAATAACTTCCAAAAAACCTTTTCAAACCATGCTTCGACTGCGGAGGAAAGCGGATAATCATAATACACTTTCCTGTAAGTCTCGAGTAGTACATCTATCATGTGGATTTAGTTGAGAGAAGAGAATCACGTGGTCGCAATTAACTGAATGATTAATTATGTGACCACTATTATACAATCTGCTATCTAAATCTGCTTTAAAGTACTCATTAAACAATATTAGTACTCATTTTGATACAATTGTAATATAAATAATAAATTTCCTGTCATAATACTTATTAAAACAAAGTTATTACATCTTGAAGTTGGTTACATCCCTAGTAGAATATAGTTAAACTTATACACCCTTTTCGACATGATTTTCCACTACAGCTGCTATGTCGCGTGTCTCTGTTAGGTCCTGGGATTAACGCTTGATTAAAATCTATAAACTCCGAGTTCAAGTCCCTAATGGCACGTTAAAATTTTACTAGTTAAGATAAGGGGCTAAAATGGCCCCGCGAAACTGGTCACGAAGACCGTTAAGGTATCGGGAACCACGTCTCTTAGGAGTCACCGTCTGTACTTGAACTATAAACTAATTGCTGGTGGTACAGTATCGTCATGTTTATTTAGACGTAATTAGGCTTTAATCCCAGTAGTAATTTCCAATACGAATGTAACTGTTGGTTTGGCTAACGGTCAATAAAACGAGTTGGGGTTTGAGGGAAAAATTATTTCCATGCAAATCGAGGTTTCCCCATGGAATAGGAAAACCCGTAAGCTATAACAACGAAGTCGCAATTCTGAAACGAAATAGTAATTTTCAATAATGCGGATGTGAATTGGATTTTAGTGGTTCTATTGTAAAGTAACATATTTTTCAAAGTCGTTCAGTTAAAGTTCAAGAAGACAAGTTTATAAAAGAGGGATTAAATTGGAAACGAGATTTCCTCTACGACACAACGGATAAGGATTCGGAAGACTGGATGAGGACGAGGAGGGA